AGGCCTGGATGAGTGCAAACATCTTACAACTAAATGCTGACCAGACGGAAGACATACTTCTTGGCTTCAGTCAACGTCATCTATCCTGCGGCTCTGACCTCCTCAACCTGCCTGGCCTATTCCTTCAGACTCACCGAACTTGACATCAGATTTGACCCCTAGTTGTCCTTCCTTTCCCACATCCGGTCCCTGATCAGGACCGCCTTCCTCCACCTCCGCTACATTGCCTACCTCCGACCATACCTTACCCCAGACGCAGCTGAAACTTGACCCATTCATTCATTACCTCACGACTTGACTTTTCAAATGACCTCTTTGCCGGTCTCCCAAGCTCCACCATGCACAGGATCCAGCTGATTCAAAACTCTGCATGTCCCTCATGCCCTCTGTTCCACCATCGGTGGCCACACTTTCAGCCACTATGCCCCAAAACTCTGGAACACTCTTCCTCTATCCCTCCATCTTGCTCCTTCCCCATCTTCAGGTCGCACCTGAAGACCTTCCTCTTTGACCGTGCTTACGGTCACCTCCCCCTCCCCCGGCTCAGCGTCATGCTCTGCCACTGTCAAGCACTCTGGGATGCTACCCTACATGAGGAGCACTATGGAGTCCTGTAGCTCAGTGGTTAGAGCACTCGCTTTGCAAGCGAGAGACCTGAGTTCAATCCCCGGCAGGTCAGGGCGAAACCTTGGGCAAGTTTCCTTACTCCACACAGAGCCTAATAATAATCCCTCCAAAACCGAAAACAATAATAAATTGGTCATTTTCAATCTACGACTGTTTGTGGGACATTGCTGTGCGCAATTGGCTGCCGCGTTCGCCCACAAATATACAGTCAATTCACTTTACAGTGTGTTCTGTGAAGTGCTTTGGGACGTCCTCCCGACGTGAAAAGCGCTATATCAAATGCAAGGATTATTATTATATAAATGCAAGTTGTTGTTGTTGTACAGTGGTCCATTCAAACTGCTTCAAACTGAGTGTTTGAAGTGAATAAACCTACATTGCTGAACTTCACTTAATAATGAATAACAATAATAATCCTTTCATTTGATATAACGCTTTATCACGTGGTTGAGACGTCTCAAAGTGCTTCACAGAATATATCATAAAGTGGATTGACTATATTTTGTGAGCGCTAGTATATGCACTAGTATACAGCCTGCCTCACTGTCTGATAAACTGATTTGGGGTCCATCTCTCCATCTCAACATGGCAATCAAACATCAGACCAGTGAGCAAAGCCTGGTCATTCCTCATAATTTTGTAAAAATACAGAATATTTATATTAACACTCTTCACACGGGATAGAATCCTGGAGCATAATCGATGAAGTAAAGTGGAGGAGGCTAAAATAATTATTTTTATATACTGAGGCTTTGAATAGTGGATGTCTTATGATAAATGTCTGCTGAATGGCACTCCAGAATGGGGAACCAAATGAATACAAGAAGAAAAATAATGTTCAATGGTTTGTAAAAGAGCAAGGAGATGGGACTGGAGATCCAGAAGAGAAGCTTGAGTCAGAAACTGGTACAAAATCTCCATGCTATAAAACTTCCACAATTCAAGCAGCCTTGAGAGAAATCCTCCAGTTCCACAAGAAAAGAGAGAAAATATCCTTGCATTTGACACAGCACCTGATCATGTCTTCAAGATGTCTCAAAGCACTTCACAGAACATACTATCAAGTGAATTGAGACCCTCCTGCACCTCAGGCTCTGGCAACATCAACCTCCATGGTTGCACACTACAACTCTCCAAGCCAATCAGGAATCTATATGTCCTGTTAGACCTTCAACTGTTTTTTCTTCCCCACATCGAAGCCATGACCCACTCTGCCTTCCCTCACCTCCATAACATCACCCGACTCCGCCACTACCTCACCCCTCAGGCCGCTGAAACTCTTGTTCATGCCTTCATCACCTCCAGGCTCGACCATGCAAACGCCCTGCTTGTCGGCCTTCCCAACTCCTCCCTCCACAGGCTGCAGATAATCCAGAACTCTGCAGCCCGTATCCTCACCTGCACCAAACTCCGTGACCCCATCTCCCCCATTCTCACCCAACTCCATTGACTCCCTATCCTTCAGAAGATCCAGTTCAAGATCCTGGTCGTCACATACAAAGCCCTCCATGGCTTCATCCCACCCTACCTCTGCGACCCCCCAAACCCCTACCAACCTGCCCGCACCCTCTGCTCAGCCGGCTCTGGCCTGCTCCACATTCCCCAACCCACCCGCCCCACCATTGGCGCGAGAGCCTTCAGCCACTTTGCCCGCAACCTCTGGAATTCCATCCTCCAATCACTCCGCCTCGCCCCTCCTTAGCCTCCAATTCCCACCTCAAAACCCTCCTCTTCGACCATTCCATTGGTCACCCCCCTTTCCCTCCCCTCCCTTCTCCCTCCCTGACCCCAGCTCGGGTCTAAAATGCTGTACACTGTCCAGCACCTTGGGACTTCCTCCCAACATGAAAGGTGCTATACAAAGGTAATCTTGTTGTCGTTGTAGTTGAACTTCCACCTAACCATGTACTTTTCATCCTTTGCATTCTGACTGCAGTACCTAATGGTTTTCCACACAATGATAAATTCTACCATAGTTCCAGTTCTGACACCAGTAACACAGCATGATCCAGATTCTTGAAGAAAATATCTATCATTTAAGTGGAAGTCAGATAGCTGAGAAAAAAAATCTTGCAGCTATTGTTCTAGAAGTATTTCTGTAGGATTTAAACCGACATTCCTGAACGTCAATGAGTTTGGTTTTGGGGACTAAATGCCAAGTTTTCTCTTCCTTCCTATCAAGGGCTTCCTGGCCTCCATCTGATATTACAACAAAACAATGGGATCTAATCTGCAGTATTTCTTAGTAAGGAATCCCACTAAAATTCCGCTTGATCCGAAGAAACTGAGTTCCACAAGCTGACTGCATCAGAGTAGAGTTTCCGCAGGTCAGCGTGAATCACTTTTTCCTATCGGAGGGGACTCTTTACACAGCATCAGATTCCTTACTAAGGAATATTCCGCAAATCAGATTCAATATGTATTATGGGTTTTATAACTTTTTCTATACATAATAATTCAAGCTGAATTCCATTTGTTTTAATCTATTTTAATGGTTTTGGATTGAACGTTTTGCTACAAGTGAGATAATTGTGGGCATAATGTTAGGAACTCATTAGCGGCTTCAAAGCCAGAATCCAAAAGCTATAAGTGTCACAAATCACAACCCCTCGAATTACAAAGTTGGCACAATTCAATGATTTTATGTATAGTACCTGTCTGAATATATATCATCTATTTTGTACCACCAAACTCTCAATATGCAGAAGCCAATTTGGCGCATTTTAAACAAAGCCTCACTGCCAACAAAAGAAAATAACTAGAAACAGACAACACAAGAGCACTAGATGGGTCAAGGGAAAAAGGGAGGCCGCAGGATAGGACAACACACTGTTTTTGTAATGGGACAGGCGTTCCAAAAGCTTTCTGTGGGTTACAATGACTTTGATCATTGGCCAAAGTGCAGTATATGTGAGTACATCTAAACCGCAGCAGCTCCTGTTGGGCTGCCCCTATCAAACAAAACTAACTCAGAGCTACTGAAATGGTCTTTCCAGTGGCCATCTTTTTGCATGTCATCTCTCGGAATCTTGCTTAGCAGGGATGAATCAGATTGGCTGAAGGGCCTCGTTCATCCAGACCAACCTTGGATCCTATGAAATACAGAACTTTGTGCAGCACACTTACTGTTAAACACTTAATCCCAGATCAGGAAACCAAGGTGAAATATTAAGAAGATTATTGTGTGATATCTTACATACCTAGTTACAATGGGAATCTCCGCAATTGTCCTGAAACTCTCCCCTCCCCATAGCAGAGTATCTAATCCTAAACCAATCCTTTTTGAATCAGGCATGAAGTTGGTTACAAGTCAACTTTTAAAATCTAGTAATCTAGCCTTGTAAAATCTAATGGATAAACGACACCTTTTATGCAGTCTTTTTGAAATTGCCTGTAAGCATCCAGTGTCATTTAACTGGATCTTACATTAACTAGTTGCTAGAATCATACAATTTTACAGCAGCAAAGAGCCCTGTGTCAGCTCTCTGAAAGAGCTTTCCCTGACCTTTTTCCTCTTCCTTATCATTCTTTTCAAATATTTGTCTAATTCCTTTTTAAAAGCTATCCTTATGGATTCAGATTCATTTATTGTTTTGATAGGCTAGTCCATGTCCTAATAACCCTCTGAGTGAAAAAAATATACTTCCTTTGTTTTTCCAGTAACGATTTTACCTTGAACATACAGATTAACATTATGGCTGGCTTAGGAAAGCCTAACTCCTCTCCGTTTTGGGACATAGGATGTATTCTGTTGTGGACAGGATAAAATTGTTCCAGTTTTCAGCGATGTTGTGCTGAATCGTTTGTTCTTTGACTTTAATGAATAGCTTTGTCACAACACAGCTAGGGTGTTTGTCTTTGCAAGCTTTTTTAAAAAATATATTTAATTTTATTTCTCTAGTATTTCATGGTTTGTCATGCAAGTAAATAAGAGCAGTTAAGGAACCGTGCAGATGGTAGAATTTACATTTGCATTGGAAAAGTGTCCATAAAATAGTTATTGATTTACAAAGAAAGGAATTCAACCTCATAGAGCGAGTGAAGATTTGTGAATATGGCAGAGATAAATCTTGCTCCATTTTCTTGCTTGAGTCTCGTTAATTATTTTCCTCTTGTCCTGAAGCTCTCCCCTCCCCAAAGCAGAGCATCTAATCCTAAACCAATCCTTTTTGAATCAGGGTTGAATTCGACCTTGAAGTCGACAAATGACCTTTCCCAATAAAAAACAAAGAATTCTAAACTGAATGCAGAGTCGACATGTGTGTCCTCCACACAAATACAACGTTATCTTGACCAATATGTGCACATATGACAACAATTGCATCACATGCGAGTTTAACAAGGTCAAAAACCCAAGTACAAACCAATGATGCACTTTGAAATGTCATACAACTGAGAGCGATCAATCACGAGGAATACCATTGCTGAGTCATATTATGAATCAAAGCAAAATGTACTAGAGTGGTGAAACCTTGGGTTTAAAATAATGCAAGATTGACACAAACGCAGCAGGTCCAGAGTCGGAGAACGGGATCGCTTTAGAGGAAGACATCCACTCTCCACAATGACTTCAAACAGCCGGATTCTACTAGGTGAATGAAAACAAATCTTCCATTGAATAAAGAGAAGTTCTTAAGTGCCGGCAAGACTGTAAGTTGCTCATTACATTGTGTTTGTTTTAATGTACAGAGAATAAGCGTTACCTGGGATTCACTGCAAGGCAGTAAGTTAGTGCTGTTCTTATGCCAAACATTTAGCAATGTTTTCATGCCAATTAAGCTGTAAGTATCGCAATGGATCTATTATAAAACTAGAGATTGCTGCTTCGATATCCTTATAATTGGCTGTTAAAAGCAGGGTCTCAGTCAATTCACAAATGGTATTGAGATTTGTAGAACAGCTGAAGCTGGTATAATGTAAAAAAAATTATACAATGTTACAGCACAGAAGGAGACCATTCAGTCCATCATGCCTGGCCAGCTCTTTGGAAGACGTATGCAATCAGTCCCACTCCCTCTTCTCTCCCCATATCTTTGCAATTTTTTTCTTTTCAAGTACCTATCCAATTCCCTTCTGAAAGTTGTTATTGAATCGGTTTCCACCACCCTTTCAAGCAGTGCATTCCAGGCCGTAACAACTTTCTATACAAAACAATTTCTCCTCATCTCCCCTCTGGTTCTTTTGCCAATTATCTTGAATCTACGTCCCCTGGTAACTGACCCACCGGCCAGTGGAAACAGTTTCTCTCTATCTATTCTATCAAAACCACTCATACTTTTGAACAACTCTATTAAAGCTCCCCTTAACTTTCTCTGCTTCAAGAAGAAGAATCCCAGCTTTTCTAGTCTCTCCACATAACTAAAGTCTCCAATCCTAGTACCATTTTGTTAAATCTCTTATGCAGCCTCTCAAAGGCCTTGATATCCTTTGACAGCAGTGTGGTGCCAGGAGAGAGAGGAGAAAGAAAGGGTTGCACATTGCTGCATTTTCTCAGTTAATTGCGCCCATACCCATAAAAGTTCAACCAGCAAGGTATACAGGAAGCTTTGCTATCAGCACTACATGTAGCAATCCATTAGTTGCGACCATAAAAATCAGGTGCTTTAAAATGTTTTTCTAAACAGCAAACATATTATTTATACTGCAGTCTTCTAATAGTTTGCTGCACATGTATACGTCACAGCAAATGTCATGGTGGGGAGGGGAGGAATTTTTTCCTCCCCATTTTGAAAATAAATGACTCACATTAATCCATAATTAGATTTTATGCATCATTTAGTTTTCAAGATCAGGGAATCTGTTGACATTGTTGATAAATCCTGGAGTGTCTGCCAAACTTATCATTAAAGTTGGTGAACAGAACTTACTACTTGTGTTTAACACAGTGCCAACAAACCACAAAAAAGTCACTCAGTTTTCTAGCATCATATATGCACCAGATGTTCAGTAATTTCAGGATCATTAATTTGTCAACAAATGTTAATGCATTGTCTCACTACTCTTTAGGAACAAAAACAACTTGCATTTATATAGCGCCCTTCACACAGGGTAACATACTGGCCTGTGAGAATCCATACAAGCAGATTCCTCTCAAAATCTACAAGAAACTTTTTTTTTGCTGAGTACTATTATAATGCTATTAAGTATATGCTGTTTATTGTTTTTTGGAGGAAAAAAATAATTGAACCATGTTAAGACTTGGTGGTTCGTAGAAAAAATAAACCTTGTTTCATGCTCGTGTACCACACTTGCATTAGATTTTGCTAGAAACAACATTTCTTCCATCCTAGATTGACCGTCATGATAAAGTATTGATCTGAGAATCCTTTCAGCCAGCAGATATCATGAGAGCCAAATACACAGCTTTTGTTGTACTGAGTATAAGCGGAATGAACCATTTTAATCAATTTTCCCCCAAATCGCCGATACATAAGTAATAGAAACTAAACTGGGAGAAAAGGGAGGAACAGATATCACCTTGATTTCAGGTGAATCCCCAGCCTCCACTACAATTAATTCAGTAAAGAAACAACTCTATGGTTCAATGGATTTTCATTGTATTGACTATGGCTGCATTATGAGATGTTTCAGTTATAAAGAGTCTTGAAGAATTAGGCCTTTTTTCACTAGAGCTGAGAAGCCAAAGGGGTTGCCCTAATTTCCACTGGTCAGTGAGTTAGTAAGGAGAAGGGCACATCTATAAGATAACCACAAAGAGAATTTAAGGGAAGGTTCAGTAAAATGCCTTTACACAGAGGGTGGTTGGGATATGGATTCTCTGTCATACAGCATTGTTGAAGCTAAGTCCTTAAGTTGCTTTGAAAAGATTTTTGAAAAAGAATGTTAAAGGGTTTGTGTAGTGAGCTGGAAAATTACATTAAGACTTGGTGGCTTATAGAGAAAATAAAAACAATAGAGCAGATTTTATGGTCTGGATAACCTGTTTCTGTGCTATTCTGTAGATGGTAAGGAAGAGCACAGATGTTGATCTTTCTAGCAAACTTACATCAAGCTGGGCTCTTCATTAAAGAACTCAATTTGGATTGCATAGTGCTGGAGCATTTGGCAGCTGGTAATTAATCAAAGAATACCAGCAACACAGTACAAGTTGGTCCAACTATAGGTATGAAAAACATTTACAGCAAGACTGTAAATAATTACTGTCTGACTAGCTTTAAGAAGTTCAATTTGAAAACTGCTGTCAATCACATGGATATAGCCTAGTCACATCTGGAAAGAGAGAATGTTCAAGTACCATGCATGTTAGTAATAAATCTTATTGAAACTGAATGCATTTTCTAGTTTGGTCATTCCAAGGGCATTTTTTTTCAATGTTAAGGGCCTCTAGTGCAGGGTACTATTACTTATGTAAATATTAAATGCTCTTGAGACAAACTCATTTACACATATCACTCCCAATATGTCACACAGTGACTGGAACTGCATTTCACTCTCCAATTACTGCCGCAAGTCTTCCATATTCAGAAGCTTTATGGTAGACCTGAAAGACAAGTGATGCATCTTTCCAATGCACAAGCCAACAGCAAATAAGGAAATGTATTTGAATTGGTGACTTTTTATGGAGTTAAAATCAGGGATCAAAATATCTTAACTGAAGCCGTGACTCACTGGCGAAAGTGGCAATATCTGAAAACAAACTAGGTCTGCAACTTGAATACTTCATCTGCACTAAGTAAATGTTCAAGAACATGCCCAATCATATTGGAGCGGGACAGCAGTAAAGTACCTCAGACACTCGCAATAAAGCCGATGAAACCTAAATGCTTGATTTTTTTTTAAAAAGTATCATCCTCAACTTTATAAACAAACTAAAAAGCGTAATATCCATTTTATTCCTCTTTGTATAGTTTAACGAGCAAGGAAATGGTGACTGAATGGCTTGTAGACAGATAAAAGTATTCCATTGCCAGAGAAGTGATGTTGTAAATGCTAAGAAAAATAAATAACTCCATCAAATACACAATTCAAGACACTTCAGCTGTACTTGGCACAATCAATGTCATTGTCCTGTCAAGCTCATGTGTCTAATAATCCTTGCATTTAATATAGCGCCTTATCACATCTTTGAAACGTCTCAAAGCGCTTCACGTAATATACTGTAAAGCGAATTGATTGTATATTTTGTGGGCAAAACACCCACAAAATTGCGCACAGCAGTGTCCCATAAACAGTCGTAGATTGAGTGACCAAATTATTATTATTTTTTTTAAGAGTTTATTGCCCGCGATCCACCAATCCACTAACAACCAGGTTCCTACTTACTGCTAGGTAAACAGAGGTGTGTTTAGTAAGGAAACTTGCCCAACATTTCGCCCTGCCAGGAATCAAACCCAGGTCCTCTTGCTTGCGATGGTGGAATGTCTAGTGATGTAATGTCACGTGTCACAGGCCTATTTGCAAAGATGAAGAGAAATGCCACTTATACTCCTGGACTCCGTTCAGTCCAAAGCCTCAGAGACCAAGGGTGGATGCAAATGCTACTAAAGGGTTTTGAGTTTTAAGCAAGAGGTATCAGAAAAGTTACCACAGGGATAATTGGCTTGTGGAAACTATGTTTCATAGCGACCTCACTTTTTGACCCTTTGATGTCAGCTCTTCCTATCAATGTGAAACAGAATTCACCAAACGTTGGATCGTTCACCCACTAATAAGGAACGTGAGCTGGGTTTAGACCATTGTGAGACAGGTTAGTTTTACCCGACTGATGACGTGTTTTTATAATAGTATTCTTGCTCAGCATGCTCAGGACTAATGCTGCATCACAATATTTCCATCACCCATCAAATCTTGTCAAAACATTATGGCTGCATTTTCATATACTGAGTCAAATTTAAGGCATCCAAAAACCAATTCCAACATCAAAGTTTCATGCAGTACCTCTCCATGCAGGACACTCTCATAGATGATTTCAGGAGTTAGAATCCTTGGTACACGAAAATATTTAAAATCAGATGTAACTAACAGTTGCAGAGCAAAGGCTGTTGTAGGCTTTACAAAATATGCTGCCGTTAGTATCACACAACTTCTCCAAGACTTTGTGTTCTCAGCAACCAATAGGGTCAATTTTTGACAGACGTGTTCTTATAGGAGTTATCCCCGGCTCTTCTATGGCATTTCACATTCTTCTGACAATCCTACTAGGTGGAAAAACCTCAGTCATAACTTCAGTAATGATAAACCTTAGTGTCATACACACAGCATGTTCTCATTCAAATATGAGCCCTGTGCTCTTGACTCTCTATGTGACTCAGAGGTCAGTGACTTAAATTCAAATATGGTGGCCGAGAGAGAGCCTGATACTAGTGAGTACGCAGTAGCAGCTACCTGTACTATGCTCCACTGGAGTCTGCATGAGATACCAGGCCACTCTGTATCGACTGATTCCTTTATCATGAACAGGGAGAACCATAAGTCACCAGAGGGGTCCAGGAACTGAGGCAACAAGTTTTAGACAAGGAAACTCAATGATTCCTAGTTACCTGTATAAGTACATTTAGAAAGGTAATTCTCCTCTAGCTGGAGTGAGTATTTAGTACTCCGTTTAGAGAATTTCATTCCACTTTAAGGAAACCAAATCCCACTCTTAAAATCAATGAAATGAGTGAACTAAATGCCATCTCATTGCAAGC